AAAAAAAAACAACATTTCGATCATGTATTACAAAACATTCGATCATGGATTACAAAAATTCTATCAATGGGTTACAAAAAAAAAAAAGAACAAAAAATTCGATCTTGGATTACAAAAAAAAAAAACAATTCGATCATGGATTACAAAAAAATCGATCAAGTATTACAAAAAAATATATCATGGATTACAAACAAAAAAAAAAAAAAAAAAAAAATTCCGTACGGGACTCGCCGATTCACTGTACGGACTCGCCGATTCCGTACAGTGAATCTGCGAGTCACTGTACAGAATCGTCCGGTTCTCTCTAGAACCAGACGATTCCCGTTTTTTTCGCCGATTTGAGCCGTCCATGGCGATTCCCGAGTCGAACCGGGCGAGTTCGGTTCGCCTCGGCGTTTTTTTAAACACTGGATTAGTTATTTATTTACAAAATGAGACATATCAAAAGAAATGACTGATAATACATAAAAATTTCCACAATATTACGAATATTGCTCAAATCATCTCAAACAACTTGATCTACAGAGCCTCAATAAACAAATCATGTTAGGACTTTTGTAGATCATTCAAAGATCTATAAGAACAAAAAAAAATAACTCAATTTCACATAATATTCTAAAAAAATAAAAATCAATTTCACATAGAAACTATGGAGAACATGATAAAAATGACCGAAATGTAGGCAAAAACAACGAAGAAATGTAAAGAAAACAGAAGATTATTTACCTTGTAGATCATTGAAATATCTACAACAACAAACAAAAACAAATCAATTCCACATAATGTTTTTTTAAAAAAGAAACTCAACTTCACATGAAACTATGGAGAACACGATAAAAAAGACCGAAAATGTAGGCAAAAGTAATAAAAAAATGTATAGAAAATGGAAAATTACTTACCTTGATAGCCTAAAATTATGTTTTCACAGTAGATCAGTTGAGAACATCTCGAGGTACTTGATTTGCAGAGCCTCAATCAATGAATCATACTAGAGATTTTATAGATCATTTAAAGATATATAAAAACAAACAAAAATAAAAATCAATTCTACATAGAATGTAAGGAGAACATGATGAAAATGACCGAAATGTAGACAAAAGCAACGAAAAAATGCAAAGAAAACAGAAGGTTATTTACATTGTAGATCACTGAAAGTTCTACAACAAAAAACGAAAATAACTCAATTCCACATAATGTTAAAAAAAAAAAAAAAAAAAAAAAAAAAAAACTCAACTCCACATTGAAACTAAGGAGAACACGATAGAAATGACCGAAAATGTAGGCAACAACAATGAAAAAATGCATAAAATTTAGATAAAATGGCAGATTAGTTACCTTGAAAGCCTAAAATTCTGTTTTCACAGTAGATCCGTTGAGAACATATCAAGGTACTTGATCTGCAGAGCCTCATTCAACGAATCATGCTAGAGCTTCTATAGATCAATTAAATATCTAAAAAAAAAAACAAAAACAAAAATCAATTCCACATAGAAACTAATAACAAAAAACGTTTAGTTTAATTTGACTATTAGAATATCATTGATAGGAGGTTAAGAAAAGGAAACAAAGAGAATGAGATTTACTATAAAATATAGTCAAAGGATTTGAATGCAATGAGATCATTATAGAAAGTATAATTAAATTGAATTAAATGCATTTAAAATAGAAAATAAGAGATGGACTATGAACAATATAGTGATCATGAGGCCTTAGTGGCCATACTCCAACTCTCTCTCTTCAAAATCTCTAACAATGTTGAGATCTCTATCTTGTGCATACTACTCTCTCCCTCACACACACACTCTCTCTCTCTAATTAAGATATAGAAACAATGTGGAGATAATAAAAATAATGTTGAGATATATCTCTCTTGTACTTACTAATACTCTCTTTCTCTCTTTTTCAAAAACTTAGTTATCCATGTCTATAGAGTTAGGACCCATCTTATTTTGAAGACACGTGTCCACCACTTAACTCTGACTTAATAATGTAGTATAAATAAAGGAAAAAGTTTATATAAGGTTTCAACCTTATATAGTACAGGTAAGGTGTATCTAAAAAATGTTGGAAATGTGGCCTCTCAGGCCCCTTTTATCCTGAAAATTTATTTTTTCAATAATAGTACAAAAGCCTTATTGAAGTATATGTGAAATCCTATGTGATTAATATGAGGCAATATCATATACATGGATCTATTTTTTAGCTTGAATAAGATGTATCATTGGAGGAAAAACCCAGTGGTGTGTTTGGATTCCTTGTAAGAATTTGTTTTTATATTATAGATATACAAAATTTATTTAATTTCTAATTATCTTTTACCAAATTGTGGGAACGCTTGGATGACATCTTATTATATGAGTCATTAGTGGACTAATGACAGGTTTATCTCATTACATAGGATTAGCAGTTTGGTGACAACTTGTTAATCATAATCAGTTACACTTAAGGGAATTAAAGCAGGAGTTACACTTGGATCTCAACTTCTATAGACCATGAATGTGAGAGTTACAAAATAAATGTGTTCTCTATAAAAGGAAGTTAAACCCTCCAGAAAAGATAAAAAAAATGATAGAAAAATAGAGATAGAAAGTGAAAGAGATTTACCAAGAGGACTATCAAAGTAGCTTGTCATCGGATGGCTTGATCTATAAGTTTTGGTGTGGATCCTTAAGCCCCTATCTGTGTTTTGAAATCATTAATGGTTTTTAAATGGATCATGTGAGAGTAGAAACGTAGGGGCACAAAATAATGCTTTCCACACGACGCAACAAGGTATACGTGCTTCTCCAGCTCAGTCCGGTTTTGTTTGTTTTTACAACAAGGTATACGTGGTTCTCCAGCTCAGTCCGGTTTTGTTTGTTTTAACCTTTTGTTGAGACAAACTTCACTTTAGTCTAGTCTAGTTGGTTAACTGACCGCAATAAGAGGCTCCATTTTTGACCCTAAACATAATAATAACAAAAAAGTACGTATAAAATTGGGTGGTTTCATTTCCCAGGTCCATGAGCGGAAGTAACCGATGTCACCTTTGGTGAGAAGGTAGTCGGAAATAATCTACTAGACGGAGCTGGAAGTAACCGATGTCACCTTCAGTGAGAAGGTAGTCACAAATAATCTATTAGACCGAGATGAAAGTCTAAAAAAAAATATTCTCACCCAAACTATTGGATTTCACTTGAGAAGAATTGTGTTGTTCCAAAAGGTCAATGGAATGGTGTGGAATAAGCGGGAGAGAAGGGTACGGAAGAGGGAGGGATTGGAAACCAATGGCTGAATAATGTCCGTTGTCAGCCACCTTGAAAAACAGATAAAAACTCACAAGATAAATGCAGGAAGAAAATATTTATACAATGTTGAGGCTCTAAACAATCAAATTAGAGCCGCCTCGTAATTTTTATTAAAAGAGGTTGTTTTGATGCTCAAATATTCCCAAATTAAGCATCTCGAAATCCAAATCAATGGGCATGATGAAATATTGGATTTTAAGTTTTGAAAATCGTGCATCTTGTAACGTACATTTGGACCGTCAATTTTCAAAATTTCATAAATCATATTGACCTATACTATTTTTAAAACTTTAAAATTTATAATTAAAAATTAAATATATTTTAAAGCAGATTTCCAATATTCAAACCACATTTTCCGGTGCGTTTTACTTTCAATATTTGGAGCGTCGGCTCTACACAGACCGTACCCATAAATAAATGAGAAAATGTTATTTTTTATTTATTTAGGCATTTGTATTATTATATGACCACCGCCTTCCACTATCTTGGCCTGTCCTGGCCGTGTGAGTTGGTTGGCTGGGGCTGCGCGCCTGCCTTTCTTATGTACTATTTATTTGTATATATAAGGAGGGTTAAATGTAGGCGACGAAGCACATCCGGCGGTCTATCTCCCCTCCCTAAATACATTTCCTCCTCTTTCTTCTTTCCTTCTTTCTCTGCGCCTTCCTTCCTTCTCTGCGCCTTCCTTCCTTCCTTCCTTCACAGACTTCAATCAATCGTCGGGCACTGCTCTGCTTCTTCTTCTGCTATTTGATTTATATTCGAGGAGGTATGTTTTATTATATTTTAGTTTTTGATCTATCTATACACATGTTATATGCTTCTTCTTCTTCTTCTAGATTATGTATGTTTGTATTTATGCATATCGAGAGGGATTGGTAAATAGATTCTTTATGTATACCTGCTCTTTTCAAATTTATTCATTTTTTAGATTTTGGGTCGGTGGTTTTTTATGTTCGATTTCTAGGGTTTATATTCCAAGGATAGGAGATTCATCCATTCAATCCCATTCCAGTTCAGTGATTTCCAAAACCAAAAAAAGAGAAGGAAATGGCGGGTAGCGGCGTGGTGACTGTTTATGGTAACGGTACCCTCACAGAGGCGAAGAAATCTCACTTCTCTGTCAAGGTGGGTCTTGCCCAGATGCTCAGGGGTGGAGTGATCATGGATGTCGTGAATGCAGAACAGGCACGCATTGCAGAGGAGGCGGGGGCATGTGCCGTCATGGCCCTGGAGCGTGTTCCGGCTGACATACGTGCCGAGGGTGGGGTGGCTCGCATGTCTGACCCGGGGCTCATCAAAGAGATCAAGCAGTCCGTGACTATCCCGGTCATGGCCAAGGCACGCATCGGCCACTTTGTGGAGGCCCAGATCCTTGAGGCCCTTGGCATCGATTATGTGGACGAGAGCGAGGTCCTCACCCCGGCCGATGAGGACCATCACATCAACAAGCATAACTTCCGCATCCCTTTTGTGTGCGGCTGCCGCAACCTGGGGGAGGCCCTCCGCCGTGTCCGCGAGGGGGCTGCCATGATCCGCACCAAGGGGGAAGCTGGCACAGGCAACATCGTTGAGGCCGTCCGCCATGTGAGGTCCGTCATGGGTGACATCAGACTCCTTCAGAACATGGATGATGATGAGGTATTTGCCTTTGCCAAGAAGATCTCAGCTCCCTACGACCTTGTGGTGCAGACCAAGCAGCTAGGGAGGTTGCCTGTGGTGCACTTTGCGGCAGGAGGGGTGGCGACGCCAGCTGATGCAGCGCTTATGATGCAGCTCGGCTGCGATGGGGTGTTTGTGGGGTCAGGGATCTTCAAGAGCGGAGACCCTGCCAAGCGCGCCCGAGCCATTGTGCAGGCTGTCACGCACTACAGCGACCCAGAGATCCTGGCTGAGGTCAGCTCAGGGTTGGGGGAGGCTATGGTGGGCCTTAACCTCAAGGATGACAAGGTGGAGCGATTTGCCATGAGGTCCGAATAATAACAAAACGGGACATTAATAATGAATTGGCCATCTTACAACAAAGACCAGCAAGACCACCACCTTCTTCGCCGTTCCATTTCATAGACAGACAGATGAATGAATCTTTCCCAATTGAGGCAGTAAGGCCGTACCCACCCAACACATTAGAGGACGGCCTGCTTTCTCTCATATAATATTTCTTTCCCGAATTATGGACTTGATTGAAATGTTTGTTAAACTGCTAGCTAGCTAGGAATTCGTGTAATGGGTTGGTTTTCTGATATCTTCTCCTTACTAGTTAAAAGGCTGAAGGCCTAGTTGCTCCAATTTAAAGTTAAGAATGAAGGGGACGTTTTGGGTTGACATTCTTTCTTTTGTCCTGATCTTTGTTGTGTTCTTCCATCTTCTCTCTCTGTGTGTGCCAACATTTTCATATTTCATGTGCCAAATTTTTCGGCTTAATACTTCTGTTTCTTTAGTACAACATTCTTCTGTTTTTTCTAGTCATCACTATTGAATAGTGATGATTATATTATTTCATTCCATGGTTTATTTATTTAAAATTAAAAATTTGACTTGACCATGTATGTTTGAAGATTCCTCTCATGGGCAATGCCAACATGTTAGTTTGGGAGGGAGGATCTGTGGTACAGGAACTTTTGTTTCTCTCCCTCTCTCCCTTTTTTAAAAGTTTGGTTGCTTATTTGTTTGGATTTTGTAAAGAGCGTGACATGCTAGCTTGTTACTACCATGACTTTCTTGCAATATATGCTCGTGGAGAAAGAGAAAATAATTGTGCTCTTTGTGTTTGCTTTATCTTATTATTGTGAAACATTAACTCATGAGTCTTGCATCTCTTGATCATGCTAATCTTAGTGAGATATGGGATTGAACTGATTATGTCTCATCATCATCAGTGCCTTTTCTCAACAATTTGGAGTTGGCTACACGAATCATGGTCCTCCATTATGCTCTATCAAGTGTCATAGACTCAGTGAGGCCATAGGTCCCCATATTTTTTTTCACTAATTTCAACCATGTCTTTTTGGACATTTTTTTAGCCTTCCACTTGAACTAATTCGCACCTCCTAATATGTGCTGTACTAGGTCTGCGTTGCACATGGTCAGTCCACTTAAGTCTACTTTCTCTCATCTTATCGCCTATTGGAGCCACACCTAAGTTATCTTGAATCTATTCATTTTGAATTCTATCTCTTCTTGTCTTGCCACTCATCCATTTTAACATCTCATCTCAGCTACTCATCGTGTGGTATGTTGTTTCTTGATCACCCAACATTTTGTTCCATAAAGCAACATTGGTCTCATTGCTACGTTTTTATGTCTAGAATTCATAAATAAGTATTGTTCAACACGTGGCAGCCTCCATTCTTGCCAATAAACCACATTCTTGCCAATAAACCACTGGCTTATATGATGGAAGTGGTGTTTTTTGAATAAGGGGTGCGTTTGTATAGAGCCTAGGCTCTAAACAATCAAATTAGAGCCTACCTTCAAATAGTGTCGAGAAATGTGGTTTTAATATTGAAAATCTTTGTAATAGCCTTACAATATATTTTCATATTCATTTATAAAGTTTAAAGCTTCAAAAATAGTATAGATCGACAGATCTATGAAAACTTGAAAATCTTGAAAATTGACGGTCCAAAAACGAGTTACAAAATGCACTATTTTCAAAACTTGAAATCCATTTTTTTTTCATGTCCATACATCTTGATGTCGAGATAATCGATTTGAAGATATTTGGGCATCAAAACAACCTCTTCTAGTGAAATTTTTGAGGGAGGCTCAAATTTGATTGTTTAGAGCCTCGGCTCTATATAAACTTTACCCCTGAATAAATTGTGGAGCGGATGCATTGATATATAGACTGGACAAAACTAATTTATGGTTTAACGTGCCCTCTTGTTTTTCTGGTGCCAGCAATTAGAGAAAGCTAGCAGATTAGTCAAGATGAGTGGTTGATAGAATTGATTAACCCAGGTTAATCTGAGTTTTTTTGAAATTATATTAAATCTGGAGGAAGCCAAATGTGAGGTAAAACCTTCCTTGCTTGTAAGGAATTTACTTCGGTGGGGTTCTCCCCTCGATTGGGGACTCTTTTCAGTCCTCAAACCCCCCCACTCATTTCCTTCTCTCTCCATTGGACCATGTCATTTGGTTGCATCCATCTTGCAACTGAATGTAACACTCTCTCTGTGCTTCTTCATTTGGGGATAGTTTAGATACCCATGACTACCTTGGCTTATGCATTGTAGGTCACATTCGTCGTGCATGTTTATGTATCATTCACTCTAGGGGGTTCTAAACCTTAAGTTGGATGGCTGTTTATTCAGCAATGCAGCCCCAGCTGGAGCTGAGTGTAAGCAATGATGCTTTAGAGGAAGTAAAGGAAGTGTTGATGTAAGGCCAGCACTCCCTAGTGCTTGTCCTTTGGGAATTTTTGGGAAAATATACAATCTCTCTGGTAGCATTTGATGCGAAGTACAGTTGTGTGGTCTCTGTTTTTTCTTGTCTTTTGTCTTGCTTTGGCTTTGTGATTGTATGAAGTTCTCATAATATGGTTTGGTGCACTAGTAAGCCTCGTGGTGATTTTGTATGTGCTAGTGTAGATAAAAACCCTTTGGGTAGCAGTCTCCTTGGAGATCTCAATTTGGAATGCACTTCGGTGGCCCTTGGGCAAGAGGCAAAATAGAAATTAAGGAGTTGGGTCTAAGTGCAGTGAATTCTTTGTTCCCTATGAGATTAGCTAGTTGTACCATTCTTGTACAGTAATAAGAATGTTTGTTATGCTGTAATGAGATTGTTACTTTTTACGGGAAAGGGGCTGGGGTCATAGGGGTAGCACCCCATACCCCAGTCACCACGTTGTAGTTTTCATTCCCCCTGACACCACCCACTAACTCCTTCAAAAAACTAACTCCTAAACTATTTAAAAAAAGGTTAAAAAAAAATGACACCACCCACTTACTCTTTCAAAAAACTAACTCCTACACTATTTGAAAAAAATAAAAAAAAAGTGTAGGGGTTTGTCTTCCCCACTGAATTACCCAAAACAGGAGATTGATTCTTTAGGGAGCAGCATACTCAGAAGTCCAGTCTGGATTTAGTGTTTCATTGAGTGATGGTGGAGTATAGAGTTTTTTTTGGTTTTAAAAAAATGAGTTAATGGAGCCAATATGACATTATTTAGATATAAAGCCAATTTTGAGAATTAATTGGATCAGTCTCTATGATTTTACTTTTCTTTAATCTTCAATAAAACTGGATTAATTGTAAGTGTGACCAATCTTGGATTGGATGCCACATCAACTTATTTCTTCCTTGTTATTCGTGGAGCGCACATTTTAATTTAGAGAATTGCATAGTTTTGCCCCTGATGGAGCTCGGCCAGCTCTATTTTCCCTCCAAGTATGTACTTAGTTTGGTTTTGATGTACAACAAAACATGATGCATCATAGCTGGAGGGCCTGTATGCTTGCGTTCAGCTAGTTGGAGATCTCTTGTATACCTCGCCATTTGCTTGTGTTCAGCTTGTTTGGGGGTCTTTGTACCTACCTACCTTGTGGGTTGCTCTGCTTGGCAATGGTGGATGCTGTTTCACGTGTTTAGTCAGTAAAGCCCTTACCTGAATGCTGTGCATCAAATTGCTTGGACATGCACCTCTCATATAAGGTGGTGAGTCTATTTCCTCAACATTTTTTGAGCTAGATCTCTTAGCCTTGAGGTTCCTGTCTAGTCAGGATCTGTGGATTGACACCCCTGTTGAATAGCAGATCAACAGCCAAAGTTTTTCTTAATTTAGTGCTGGAAAATATGTGCCCCTTCTGTGCTTGATTTGCTGTGTAGTAGTTTGGTCCTGAAGGATTTGGGTAGTTTGATAGTCTCCTATCAACATTATCTTGAACTTCTTGCATTTGAATAATCGTGAACTGAGTAAATACGGATGAATTGCCTAGATGACCAAAAGGAATTACTGGTCTCTCATGTGACAATGCAGCATGGCTGCACCAAAACTGGACCTGTGTAATGTTTTCTATGTGGAACTTCTGTGAAAAATGAAATTCTAAAAAGAGCGTGTCATTGTGCTATTTTCACATTTTCCCTAGGTTGCAAAATAGAGGCTGTCTTCTAAAAAACAGCCTTTGAAGTTTTCCATTTGTGTTTGTATGGGAGTGGATGAGTTTTACACCGTTCTGAAATGCGGTGATGGAGTTCAATTTCCATATCTCGTGTCCATGTTTGTTCTTCTTGGGTTGACTATATGTGCTGAATGATGTAAAAGCACGGGGACTGGGTTTTTCAATGAAATTGTTTACCTCTGGGTAAATAGGGTTGGAAGCACCTGCAGCTGACAGGTCTGACAGCCGATGATGGGAGTTCTATCATCGCTGCTCCTGAAGAGCTTCCATCTGGCTAGGAATGATTGTTAGATTTCACATTTGATACCTTAGGATGATCATGGCGTTAATCATGCACACGAAGAAGCTAAATGGTCTCGTCGCATGGGTTGTCCCTTAGCAGTATGCTTCTCGTGATTCATGCTTCTTTCAATCCTTGAATGTTGGTTTTTCACGCATTTGTTGGTTTGAAACTATGACAGCGAGAAATTAATGGGAGAGTCCTTGGTGAATCTTAAAGTTGGAATTTCTTGCTTTTCAATTATTGCTACTTGGAAGGCCATTGGCCAATTCGTGTTTTACATTGGGGATTCTCTACAAAGCAACTATTTATCTTATGTACATTGAGGTCACAATTATTTTTCTCTTAAATTTCAATAATTATTTTTGTCTCTTAAATTTCAATATGGGCAGTGTTAAGAATGTCATTGAATAGACACAAAGTTTAAAAAAAAAAATTATCGGATTTTGTGATTTATCCCTAGCCATCCAATTCGACGAGGGGAATAATTGTGGCCTTTATATACAAAAGATGAATGGTCTCCTTGTAGACAATCCTTTGGTGGTGTGGATGCAAAGTACCATTTCACAATGGGTATGTTTTTTCTTCTTTGTTGTTCTCTTAATTATCATTTCAACTAACTTCTGACCTTCGAAGAATTTTTTATATGCGCCATATAAGGTCTTGCTCACAAGTCACTGCCTTCATACAGATTATAGCATATTTCTCTGTATCTATCTACGCACTGTATTAATAAGTGAAAAAAGAACTAAAAAAATAAGAATGACATTGCACATATCGTATACTTCCTCTCTTCTATTTACATAGGTATGTGGATTCTCTGTCACTCAAGTGGCTTGGCTGTTCAGCTTCTCATATTCTCTAAATGGTTCTTTAATTTTTATTCTTCGGTGGGATAAACATCTTATTTCCATGCTGTTATCGTCCT